CCAGTTTCCTCCCTCTCCTCCAAGAAACTGGTTCTCTTCAGGACACCAGGTAAGACCACTTGATTCAGCCTCTTCTCTGGTAATTTCGGCAGGGCTCAGGTCCTCTGGTAGGGCATGCTATTCCTAGTCATTCTCTAAGTTTGCGATGGTAGCATAGTATTTGGAGAATGGTGTCACAAGATTTTTTTTTCCCCCCAAAGAATATAAAACTGGGAGGGAATCTGCTGAGCCTAAGCAAATGGCATTTGGATTAGACCTGAGGAGTGGAGTCCGAGGATGGGAGCTACCTGCAATTATATGATCTCGGGGGCGGCTGCACACTATTCTGTGGCCACTTAAAAAGATGAGACAGTTAATCATGATGATTGGCATTGAGTGTGTCTTCCAATATAATTCATTTAAATTACATTTATAAATGCTTATAAAAGAAACCCTACCTTTAATATTATTCACACCTAGAGCAGTGATTCTCAGAGTGAAGTCACTAATTCATTGGTGAGCCATCTGATTCTTCTTGATGGGTTCAAGCCTGTCCCATAAATGTTGTTGTCATCATTGTGCTCAATTGCTCAGTTGTGTCCGACTCTTTGTAACCCCATGGACTGTAGCCCGCCAGGTTCCTCTGTCCATGGAATTTTCCAGGAAAGAATACTGGAAATGGGTTACCATTTCCTCCTCCAGGGGATCTTCCCAACCCAGGGATCGAACCCTCGTGACTTGTGTCTCCTGCATTGGCAGGCGGATTCTTGATCACTGCACCACCCAATCCCATAAATGTTTAGGGTGTTATTTTACAATAATGAGTAAGATGCATAAGCTCACATTTACCTCTTATAAAAATAATGATAAATGGATGAGACATCTTCCTTCCAGGTCTTTCTTATCACTGACTTTCCTGTGCCCACGTGGGCACATCCCTGTGGAGTCTGATATAGAGAGAAGTCATTCTTTTGTTGTTGTTGTTTATTTATTTATTTACTTTGCTTTCGGCTATGCTGGGTCTTTGTTGCTGCGCAGGCTTTTCTCTGGTTGCGGTGAGCAGGGGTTACTCTCTAGTTACGGTACGTGGGCTTCTCATTGTGGTGGCTTCTCTTGTTTCCAAGAATGGGCTTTCGGGCACCTGGCCTTCCATAGTTGTGGCTCCAGGGCTCTAGAGCACAGGCTCAATAGTTGTGACACAGGAGTTTAGTTGCTCCACCGTATGTGGGATCTTGCTGGATCAGGGATCGAACCTATGTCTCTTGCATTGGCAGGTGAATTCTTTATCACTGAGCCACCAGGGACGCCCTGGAGAGAAGTGATTATTTTCATGCTCCTTGTGCATTTTTCCAGTAACCAAGGACCGTCTCTGTACTTCATCACTTTAGTTCAGTCACTCAGTTGTGTCTGACTCTTTGCAACCCCACGGACTACAGCACGCCAGGTTTCCTTGTCCGTCATCAACTCCCAGAGCTTGCTCAAACTCATGTCCATTGAATCAGTGATGCCACCCAACCATCTCATCCTCTGTCTTCCCCTTCTCCTCCTGCCTTCAATCTTTCCCAACATCAGGGTCTGTTCCAGTGAGTCAGTTCTTCACATCAGGTGGCCAAAGTATTGGAGTTTCAGCTTCAGCATCAGTCCTTCCAATGAATATTCAGGACTGATTTCCTTTAGGACTGGTTGGATCTCCTTGCTGTCCAAAGGACTCTCAAGAGTCTTCTCCTACACCACAGTTCAAAAGCATCAATTCTTCAGTGCCCAGCTTTCTTTATAGTCCAACTCTCATATCCATACATGACTACTGGAAAAACCAAGGCTTTGACTAGATGGACCTTTGTTGGCAAAGTAGTGTCTCCGCTTTTTAATATGCTGTCTAGGTTCGTCATAACTTTTCTTCCAAGGAGCACGCATCTTTTAATTTCATGGCTGCAGTCACCAACTACAGTGATTGTGGAGCCCAAGAAAATAAAGTCTGTAACTGTTTCCATTGTTTTCCCATCTATTTACCATGAAGTGATGGGACCAAATGCCATGATCTTAGTTTTTTGAATGTTGAGTTTTAAGCCAACTTTTTCGCTCTCCTCTTTCACTTTCATCAAGAGGCCCTTTAGTTCTTCACTTTCTGCCATAAAGGATGGTGTTATCTGCATATCTGAGGTTATTGATATTTCTCCCAGCAATCTTGATCCCAGCTTGTGCTTCATCTAGTCCAGCATTTCTCATGATGTACTCTGCGTGTAAGTTAAATAAGCAGGGTGACAATATACAGTCTTGACATACTCCTTTCCTGATTTGGAACCAGTCTGTTGTTCCATGTCCAGTTCTAACTGTTTCTTCTTGACCTGCATATAGATTTCTCAGGAGACAGGTCAGGTGGTCTGGTATTCTCATCTCTTTAAGAATTTTCCATAGTTTATTGTGGTCCACACAGTCAAAGGCTTTGGCATAGTCAATAAAGCAGAAATAGATGTTTTTCTGCAACTCCCTTGCTTTTTCAGTGATCCAGTGGATGTTGGCAATTTGATCTCTGGTTCCTCTGCCCTTTCTAAATTCAGCTTGAACATCTGGAAGTTCACAGTTCATGTACTGCTGAAGCCTGGCTTGGAGAATTTTGAGCATTACTTTGCTAGTGTGTGAGATAAGTGCAATTGTGTGGTAGTTTGAGCATTCTTTGGCATTGCCTTTCTTTGGGATTGGAATGAAAACTGACCTTTTCCAGTCCTGTGGCCACTGCTGAGTTTTCCAGATTTGCTGGCATGTTGAGTAGAGCACTTTCACTGTACTTCATGGGTATTCTTAAATATTTTCTTGAGCAACTGTCTTGAGTTATACCATGTTTTAAAGATAAGCTGAAGAGAGAAAACTAAGTCAGGGGTTTCTAGGGCATTTAGGTCCTAGAATTTTAAAAGATTGACATGGCCCTTTTTTTGAATGTTTGAGAATGTGCTTCTCATGGACAAAGAGGTGTGAGTGAGTATAATATATAACATAATATAAGGCAGTTTTTGAATTTGTGGATCACTAATTATCAGGCTTGAGCTATTTCAAACTTTGCTGGAGTCATAATCCAAAACTGATTTGTCATCAGTATACAGCAGTATCATATTCCAAGCCCTATCAGATTATAGTTATGTACTTTATCATTTTTTAACCATTTAAATTACATTCCTGTTAATAGAATCTATGTTTTAAAGTCAAGGGCAAATCGGTGGATTGCATGGTTCATGTCTAGTTGAGTTTTTATGGCTAATTGGGCACATATGTACTAAGCTAACCCCTCTATTTAGAAGTGAAGGATTTTACTAAAAATGAGCTTATTTTTATTACAGGCAGCTTAGTTTCATCTGCTTAAGTAGTTTTTAAAACATGAACCATTTTTCAGTACAACTGTATCTTAATGTGTTAACTGTATTTTTTAAATGCAGATTTTTTTTTTCTCACTAGCTTAATGGGAATTCACAGAAATCATAGCCTTTTAATTAAAGCCAATATGTTTTGGTGCCAGACATTCTGAAGGATTCCAATGAACCAAAAAAGAACACATTTCTGCACTGCAAGTGTGCATATGGGACCCTTCAGAAGCCTGACATAAATTCCTGATGGAAGGATTCGAAACAGGAAAAAGATTAATAAAAAGAACGTCAGAGTAGGCTTCAGAATAGCTTAAATAATGTGTGTAGTGAAATAATTTTCTACACCAAAGGATGGTTTGATTGAAAAATTGTGACTCTTGCATAGTCTTAACATTATAAAGTCTAAAGCTAACTTCAATCCATTTCAACTAAAAAAGAGTTATATTTTTCAAACCTAAACGCTGGTACAAGTGACTATATTTTCAGAACTAGTTCAAGCAGTCTGACAAGCAAAATTTGGTAGTCAAGGGAATGGAATATTTGAAACTGAAAAGATGCTTCAAAGTCTGGGCTATACATTATAATGGCAGCTGTAAGGAAATCACAGGATACATTTGGCTGCAGTTTGATCAAACAGAAAGAGCCTGGGACCAGAAGGCAGATGATTTAAATTTTAATTCCTGCCCCGTACTCAAGTATCTGTGGGACTAGACAAGTCATTTAACCTTGCCATGTTTCTGTTTTTTTCAGTTGTAACATAGTGATTATATCTCCCATAACCATCTTATGACTGTGAGGATCCTAATGAACTATTGTGTATAAAAGTCTTCTTGAAAAGTAATGCTAAAGTTTTATACAAATGGAATTATTTCTGTGGTTTTGAATAACCATGGCCAGACAGAGAGTATGTTTTATTTGTCATTGCCTTGCTCAAGTGCCTGGTGTTAAGGAAAGGTTCTATTGATAGTGCTGAATGCATGCATGAGTAAATGAATGGTTTTTTTTTTTCTCTCGTTTTATTTTCTCCGTCAGAGACAGGTCAAAAAAATAAAACTAAATGTGTGGCTTGGGATTCTTTAGAGTTTTACACATGTGCACGTACTGGTACCCATCCAAGTCCAAGCCACATGTATAAACACAAACATAATCTGGTAGACATCCTAGTATTACATGTGTGCAGGGTGTTTGGTGGAAGTTTTTTTTTCCCCCTATAGTATTGGACTTGGCAACTAGAGCCCTAGTTGAAAATGCAGATTTTAAATAAAGTCAGTGAGAGTTGTGGCCCCTCCCTTTCCCATCTCCATTCCTTGCCTCCCCTTTACCCCCTACTTCGGGGCAGCCTACTTGGTCCTCTACCTTCATGCACTGACCCAGTCTCCTGTCTCACCCTCAAGGCCTTCTATGGAGGTTGTGGGGGAAGAGAGAGAGGGAGAGAGTCTTTCTGATTGCAGCCTCTTGGCAGAACAAAGTTCATGATTTTCTCTTCTTTCTGAGAGGGAGAGACAGAGACTTCCTTCAACAAATTTAATGAGGGGGGGAAATTCCTTCTTGTTTGCAAGAAGGGAAAACTGGATTTAGGTTTTCCTACTGGACATCTGCTTGATCTTGCTCGCTCTGTCCCCTGGCCGGCTGGAGCAGAGAAGAGGGCTGCAGAGGCGCCGCAGGATGCTGGCGGGGACCGAGGTGGTGAGGGTGCCCCAGTTTATCTTGGTCTGGTGCTCACTCTGCCGAGGGCTGTAGTGTTTGACTCTCTTGCTGGTTTTCCTACCTGTGAGGATGCCCACTGGGTGAGGAAGCATTCTGAAGAGTCACGCTTCCAGCCTCAGCCTGCCCTGCAGGGGAGGGAGGTGATGAGATTCCAACGGAGTCAGTTTGACATATCAAACTGAACGAACTAGGACTTGGTGACAGGGATGCAGAGGTGATGGGACTTGCTTGAGATCCACTACTCTGGTTGAGAAGGGTGATTTGGAAGCAGTGATTAGAAGACAGAAAACAAAGCAAACCCTAAACCGTTTCATGTTTGTCTGGCGCTGAGCAGAGCGTCTTCTATAAAGTTATTACACTAATTAGAAACGGTCCTCATGTGGTTTGATTTCAGTTACTTAATCACAGAATCCAGAGTCAGAGCAGAAAAGATCTTTCAGATAAGACTGCTAGGCCAGTAGGTTTCAAATGATGTTCCAGGAAGTCTTAGTGGGAGTGGGAGCCCACAGAGGTTACCAGGACCCTCCGGAGGTGGGGGGGTGGTGAGGATGGCTTTAGGTGGGAGGGGGGATGGAGGAGGGTAAAGATGCTAAGAAGGTACGTCCTCTGGTCTCTCTCCTCATCTCAAGCTAGAAAATATATTGCTTTTATCTACTTTCAAGGTCAGTTTTCCTTATAAGATTACTTTTGTCCAAAGAATTTCCCAGTTAGAAAAAGAAGGGCTTCCTTGAAATCCATTTCTGAGATAAGTAAGCTGAAGCTCAGCCTGCGGAAGTGACAAGCCACAGTCCACAAAGCCCTGATTGGCAGAGCCAGGACAAAGGTCGTCTAGTTTTGACTCCCTGTCCCGAACTGAGGGGTAGAGTTAGCCTTGCAAATCTGAGGTGCATTTACTAAGCAGCTACTAGACAAGAGTCATGCTGTACGGTTTTCTTCTTCTTCTTCCTAAAAGATTAATGCAGTTATTGCATCCATTTGGTGCCTTTACTGCCGGAAAAATAACAGCCAGCAGGGGCTTTCTTGGGTTACCTCGGTAAGAGATCTCTGCAAGTCAAACACTATTAACTTTAATGAAGCGGCTTTGATGGTGGGGAAGAGACAGCTGACACCACATTTCCCTAACAATAAACCACTCTGACAGATAAAAACAAACAGGCTCAAGATAACATATAGCATTTCGAGAACAGGGCCAATAATGAATGCAGACGGATGTGAGTTGGGGTTTCCTCTAGGCCGTGTCCCTCCATCTGTTGTGGAAACTTCTAAAAGGCAGGGCAGGACGATCTAATCTGGCTTTTACAGAAACCACTGCCTGCGTTATTACAAGGATGGCCCTAGGAGGAAATTTTAAATAAACTGAATCTTACCCTGGGCTCTTACTGAAACCCTCTTTGCTGTGACTTAGTCATCGGATCTGAGCGCCAGTGGTGTGTTTATCCAGTTCTAGTAACCTGGGTCATATATATACTCCTTCACCATCCTGCCCTGGGGTGACCCAGCCTGTTGCCATCCGCTCCCTGGGGCGTGCTCTGAGCCTCCAGAACCGAACCTGTGACTGGTGAGCACTACCCATGGGGCTGCCATGGCTCACTCCCTCTTGGGCAATCCCAGTGGAGACCTCTGCCTAAAACAAAACCAGGAACAACAGCAGCACCCAAAACAATCAGGGTTAGACAAGGTTTGGTGCTGAAGCCTGCTAGAAGCAACACAGAGGAAAATGGTATATAATTTTGAGCTCTGACATGGTTTGGTCATTAGTCCTTAAATCTAGGTTTCATTTAGACAATGGTGAGTGACACATCCATTTTTAAAGAATGTTTATTTCAGTTTCCTCACCAGACTGTGTCATTTTGCAAAACACCCTATGTGGTCCTTCCACTGGGGACTGCTTTAATGTGTGCAGTGGAGGAGTGCTGTATGCTTACTAAGCTTAGTCGTGTCTGACTCTTTGCAACCCCATGAACTGTAGCCCACCGGGTTCCTCTGTCCATGGAATTCTCCAGGCAAGACTACTGGAGTGGGTTGTCATTTCCTCCTCCAGGGGATCTTCCTGACCCAGGGATCGAACTTGTGTTTCCTGGGTCTCCTGAAATTGCAGGCGGATTCTTTACCACTGAGGCATCAGGGCAGTAGAGGAAGGATTGTTATACTTCTGAATTTGTAAATCATTTGCTACGTGTATTTTCTCATTGATCTTTACAACTTCTCTACTGATGGAGATTGTCGATAGTCTCACTGATTTGCCCAGGTTCATCCAGGTGCCCTTAGAGGCAGCACTGGATGGATTTCAGGTTTTGTTCCAGTCTGATAGGAAACTCTTAAAGAGTTTTCTCCAGGTGTGTGTGTGTCTTGGGAGTGGGTGTGGGGATAGTGGCTAGAAAGCAGAAGAGTCTGCCTAAATTACTTATGAAATCCACCGGTAATTCCAGAACCCTAGTGTAGCCTTACACACGATGCCATTTTCTCTGAAGTGTCTTTCCTCTTCTAAGACAATGAACAAGTTTCCCAAGTACCTGTTTTCATCACAGTGATAACTGTTACTCAGCAAGTGTCCATTTTGTTAGGCACTTATGCAAATACGTCATCATATCTTTACTAGTCACACCAGTTCTAGAGATGCTCTTAGTACCTGCCTGTTCTCCATGAGGAAACTGAGAGACATTAAGTAACTCGCCCAAGGTGTGGGCTTCTGAAGCTGTGTTTGTCCCATTGTACCACACCATGCTTGGGTTTGGGTGTGAACATATGGTCAAAGCTGAACAGCAGGAGAAAACGAGGCCCTAAATTGATGAAACTGTACATTAATAATAATAAAAGCAATAATAGCAGTAGTTACCGTATGCCAACTCCTGTGCTAATATCTCACCCACATGATATCTTTCACCTTGACAGTGCGCCCTGCAGGTAGAGACTCCTGTCGTCCTTCAGTGCCCTCTACCCCTTGCTATTTAGCTCTAGATAAGTACCCCTCTTCCTTTGTGAATTGACCATGAAAAGATATTGTATGTTAACTGCATGTAGTTCACCCTGGACATCCCCTTCTCCCTGCAATCTAGAGACTTGACTTAAACCTGGGAGAGACTCAGACTCAACTGGAGATTCAGAGTGATCCAAACAGGCTGAAACATATGCTGAAACCTGCAAGAAGAAAAATATACTGTTCTAAATTCAGGGCACATTTTCATTTCGAGGCAATGGAGGCCTGCTTTAGGATTAGGCCCTGTGAAAAAGATGTAGGGCTCGTAAGTGTCCACAGGCTTAAGATGGGCCACTTCTGTATGAGACATGGCTGGTGGAGCAGCAGATTCAGTCCTAGAAACAGTTTTGAACCATGGATTGTCCTGGGATCCCTAAGGAAACTAAGATAAAATTTTGTATTATTTTACAGATGAAACCAGGCATCTATTTATGAGGTGTCAAGATTAATTTGGAGTCCTTTCCAGGTGATGGGCAGAAATAGACTTGTTTAGGTTAAGGTCACCCTCCTTGACCTCACAATTTCTGGTGGAAAAGCAGACCATCCCATGAGATGATGGACAGACACAGCCCTGCAATTAGAGGCTGACCAAAATGTAAAGCAGCACTTGCGACTTTGCAAGGATTACCACATGACCACATTCTGGCCTCTTGGAGATCTCATGACATAGTTAATCTTATTCTTACCTTTTAATAAATTGGGAAACTGAGGCTTAGAGCAGTTGGACAGAGGCTGCAGGTATGAAAATTTTAATTATACCTGGTATGACACTCTAATGCAGAGTTTGAAAGACAGAGAAAATTCCCATTGCCCCTTCCCACACCCTTAGCCGAGATCAGATTTCTCTCTGATAGATTTGCTAGGAGGGCATGGGTTAATGAGGACCCTGACTGCAGGGGTGGCCAGTGATCACGGAGAATTAGCTCTCACCCTGTGTTCAGGTCCCCAGGCAGCGAAGGGACTTCGGGCCCCGGGAACATATTTCCGTGTCTTACAGCGTGAGAATGCCTTGCAGGGGCCAGCGTGACCTCTGGGTTTTGTGGGACTCTGTGGGAGGCATCCGTGGCAGCCGAGGGCTGAGAGCTGCCCACTCAGATTTCTCCCAGGCACCGTTTCTCTGTATCTCAGCCGCCCTCAGGATGCGGCCTCCAGCCTCGGTTCTGGCCGCTCCAGGCTTACAGCCCAACAGAGGCCAGTCAGAGTTTGCGACGAGGGCTGAAAATATGGGAGGCATTAGGCGGGGAGTGGATTTTCCTGATAGCCTGGCTTTTCTCACCCAGTATTTTTATATGCAGATGAAATGACAGTAAAATGAACAGCCAGGCCTTGCTCAAGGCGGGGAAGGACTGCCGTGAAAAGCAGTCCCAGGCGCGTGAGTGGAGTGCTCGCTGGGGCGGCCCCGGCCCACCTGTGTAGCTGCCCAGGCCGCGGAGGAAGCCGGCGCGTCTTCAGGGTCTGAGCCTCCGCGGGGTATTGGTCCCCTTCGGCTTGCAGCGCCCCCTTCTGGCCTGGCCTGTGTCAGGCGGTCATTGAGCGCCCCACCACCGCCCTGGTTTCCTTCCACCGGGACGGGTAGAGGGCCTTTCAAGGGTCTCTTGCCTGTTATTGTTTTATGTGGACTTTGGCCCAGGGGAGACAGTCACAAGCTTTCCAGAAGTGCGGTCACAGCCATTCTTGTGATTGCCCCCTCCTAGTCGCCAAGAAACTGGGCTGGTTGCGCAATTGCTAATTTCAGAACCTCACAAAGCTCTGCCCTCTAGTGGGTCTTTGGGAAACATTTCAATTCCCCGGAGAAAAAGAAAGGAAGAAAGGCAATATTTAATGCTCACATGCTGAGGGTATTTTAAATAGAGTGGCCGGAGAGCAGAGCGCCTGGAACTTGACAATTGAAACCTCTTTCTGCTTCAGTCACCCTTTCCTGGCACTTAACAAGTTAAGGAACTGTCCAAACCAATTTCGACTATTTTAATAAAAAATGAAATGACACATCCCTAAAAACAAA